TATTTTGTTTTTTGAGTAAAGCAGAACTTGTGCTCTAAGTCAGTGTGAATAAAAAACAAACCAACGTTACTCTTGGTTTCAGGTTTTTGGTCGCTGCCAGACAGCGAGTGAAGCTTAAGAATGAGTCAGTAATTAATAAACTGCAATAAACTACTCGCCATTAGTGGGATGAACAAAACTCTGTTGCATTCAAGAGGAAATCAATACATTTACACACATCGTCTCCTTTCTCGCCGGCGTGTAAACCTGCTTTCTACACTTCAAGTGAGACAAAAATGTTTCAAACTGAAAATCTACAAAGAGAAAAACGTGTTGCTCTAAAAACACACACAAAAAATCTGTGTAAATTGTCATGTAATCATGTGTCATGTGCAAATACACACAACGAATACTGTACCAATGTAGGTGCAGTAGGAGGCAGGCAGCTGCCTGCATTGCTATGTATGCCAGTTGCAGTCACACAACTGTATGCACCATCTACTCTAGACACACACACACACACACACACACACACACACACACACACACACACACAATCTGTCTTCCTGACATGGTTATTGTACAACCTGAAGAGGAGTGATACTTTTGGGTAGGTTACAGAGCCGGGAGGATCGCTCTGTAAGAAGCTGAGAATTTCAATTTCTTTCCTCAAAGACGACGACTAAACACGTCTTGCACTCTGCTGCTCTCTGCTGCCTGTTCAGAAAACTGCAACTCAACAGAAATACCTCTCTTGTCCCGTCTATACTCACGATCGGTCAGTCACACCGTGTGCCGTTTCAAAAACGTTTGGCCTGTCAACTTTTTGTTCAAGAGTTCCTCCCTGCACAGAGACGGAGAACACCTCTTCCTCTCGACTTACGAGCTCTGCAAAAATCACCACATTGAAACACTTGCGAGGGGGACGAACACACAAACCGACACCAGCGGCAGACAACAGACGTGGTTCTGTCGGTCGCGTGGGTTAGACCGGAACAAAAGGGGAACAACTTAAATTTGTTAGAGCAGCGCTGAATGCGATCCAGTTAGTGTTTCGTTGTGTTAGATCAGGAAACAATGTTTTTGTATAGCTCTTATATTAATCTATATTTTATCAGAAGTAAGATACACACAATTATGAAACATCCCCCGACATCCTTTTCAGTTACATTTGTGTCGACTATGTTTGTTTTGACAAAGACAGAATACATACGTCTGACCTTACAGATAGAAAACTTGTTTGCGTTGTTGTCCATCATCAGTGTAAAGCAGGATTTTGCTTTCTTTCTTCCTAACATTTAAAGAACTGAAAACCCCCATTTTTCTGTTTGTCTCCATTCGTATTCTCATCAGCTCAGTTCAGCAGACGAGGGCCAGGCTGAAAGCTTTGCAGCTGAGCCCGTCGCGTCGGACAATTCTATCTCACGTGTTGGCTCTCGCGCCAAGCGGCGGTTCATCGCAGAGCTCCCTTTGCAGCGCTGTGGTGACCCCGGACCGGTCCACGCACTGCACACGTGTGCGTGTGTTACATCTCGACCGGTGTCCTGCCACACATCACAGGGCAGATGCATGGAGGAAAACAACAGACACGCTATGGAGATCTAGTGAATGACATGAAAGTTGGCTTTTGTGGATTTATCCTGCATCGCTCTTCTTGCGGTGTGTGCATCCCTCGGGGTCGGTAAAGTCTGGCGATTCCATTTCCGGTGCACTTCCGGTTTGTTTTTTGGGGCGGGGGGTGGGGGGCGGGGCGGGGATCGCCTCGAGTCTTCCACTCGGTTCTGTGTTTGTCGATGGGCGCTCTCTGGGGTGGCTGTGATGATGCAAGTGGACCAGTTCTAGTTCCGTGTGATGACAGATGATTTTCTTTTTAGGAAGTTGCGATCTCTCCCCCTAGGTGGCGCCATCCCTTCTGCTGCGTCTCCAGAGGAGGCAGATACTCTGGAACACAGAGAGACGATTCAGGGAACAAGTCTGAATGACGGGCTTTTCTTTCTTTCTCCGAATGCCACGTGACTTATGAACATGCTGCCACAGCACAACACACATTCGTCAGTTTCTCAGCACCGTCACTAAGACCATTCTCTGAATTCCGACTGCTTGATTATAAGTGATTCAACAAGTGCCTTTGTGGCGCGCTGAAGCCTTCGTCTTATATATAGACGGCATCGGCCATCTCATTTTTTGAGTCCTCAGCTGACATAATCTCTGTTCCTGTATCTCCAAGAGGTTGCCGACTCAGCCTCAAGCTGCTTTTCCACATTCCTGTATTGCTGGTCTTGTGCTGTCTCACATGGAACAAATAGTTTCAACTTCCTTCTACTGTGTGGGTCTCTTGGAGATGGCCCTGATAGCGAGTCACGTGTCTTTTGCATGCATCTAATCTGAACACTTCTTACAGTGATCGGATAGCACTGGAGCAGAATTTACTCTCTCCTTAGTTAAGCACACTGTGAAGTGAGTTGGCCATGAAATGCAGCCTTCTCTCTGCTTCGTACTTTCCTCGAATATGTGCGGTTCCTTATAATGCAATAAGAGCTGCTGCACAAGAGAGACAATGAAACACAAGCGTATCTGAAAGTACCTTTTTAGGGCCAAGTGTGGTTCAATGTCACTGAACATAAGTTACTTATTAACTAGGAAAACGTGCACATATATTTTTGCCTTTATTACACATAAAAAAGAAGAAGGTAGCATACTTAAACCCCTCTCCCTGCCCTTGCCCTTTTAGTTTTTGTCAGGGTTCTTTGCATAATTCATGATGCTTGATGGGTGACACTCAGTACCACACCTGAATACATATTTCTTTATAATTTGCCCTAGATAAAGTCTCTTACCATTCAGTGTCGGTGCTGTGTTTTATCACGCGTGTTACAAACGCTGTTGTATTTAGGACAAAAAAAAATAAATACTTGCTGCTTACCATTGTTACTGCAGTTTTTGTTGTCTTTGTCAGATGCCTCTTCCTCAACCTGATAGCAAAAAAAATCAATACACAAGAAATGTGAAATCTTTTAAAGTTAAAGTTTTAAGTTTTAAGTTTATTGTCATATACATTTACACATATACGAAATTTGTCCTGTGCATTTAACCCATCCCAATAAGCTAGGGCTGCTGAGAAGCGCCCGGGGAGCAGTTAGGGGTTTAGTGTCTTGCTCAGGGACACTTCGGCATAGGACACGTAGCAACTTTGCGGTTGCCGGACGACCCTCTCTACCCAGTGAGCCACGGCCGCCCCCCATTTTTGTATTTGTAAAGAAAAACGTAAGAAATAAGCCATGTTTAGAATATCAAACTTGGCACGTCATGTGCTTCCCACAAGGAAAGAGGAAAGGAGTGGTCCTTACCTGTTTCCTCCACTTCAGCTCACAGAAGATCCGCTCAAAGCACTCGTGCATGTAGTTAAACTGGGAGGGAAAAAAAACAAAGAGAATGTCAAGCGAGCCTTCTTATACACCACAATCAGCCTGCAAAGTCACAGCGACAAGGTTTTGCTTTTTACTACCGTTATTAGTGCATGTGAAGGAAAGTGTGTTGACTATCAAACCAATTAGAACTTTTTCTTTAAAAAAAAAAAAACATATGTCACTCTAAAACGGCAAATTCAAACAAAGTAGGATTGACCCCTTCCGGCCGTCGGTTGGTCGATATTCTTATTGGTAGAATTGGTGAAAGAATTTCAGTCCAGCTAGCTTTTCTTTTGACTACAGCCAAACAACAAAGAACACAACAACCTGCAAATACACATGGTGACTTACATATGGAGTGAAGATCTTGACCCAGCGAGGCTTCTTCTCTCCTCTGGCGTATTCAAAGCAGAAAGCCATCCCCTCCTCGTCAGTGTCCCAACGCTGCATCTCCGCCCACTCAAAAGCGATCACCTGGTTCTGTGGGAGAGAGTTCACAGCAGGTAAGCTCTGTGCACAGACAGACATTTACATGTTAAGCTCAACATTTGCTTTGCTTCACAATTCACTATCTGGGAAATCCATTTAGGAAAATTCAGGATTGTACTTTATTATACACGTTATAGCCCAAATTGTTTTACACAATAATGTAAGAATCTCTATTTTCACATACTGTGTTGCCCTAAAAAGTGATGTACTTGTGCTGTACTTCTTTATCAAACCAGCAAAAACAAACGCTCACCTCCAGCGTGCCGTCCTCGGTACAAGCGTGCAGCTTGAAGTGATGGATGCTGATAGCTGTGATGACATGGCCTTTCCTCCGGGAGTCACAGGAGCAGTGGGGGAAGGCCACCTCGTTGTAGCCCTCACATGTCCGCAGCAGACTCAGGTACTAACAGAGTATTACAGAGCAAACACATCCGTCATTAATCCTATAATTAACCAGGCTGTAGCAATCTAAACAAGATGAGGTTTACGTCTCTCTCCTTAGTACAATTACTCATAAGTAGGACTTTCTTAGGTGTGTAACAGAAAGAATAACGCAGTAATGCTGAGTAACAGCAACCTGCAACAATCTCTATTTCTATTCCACTACTTTGTGATATGACTACATTCAGAGTCCTGTGCTTCTTTCATGCAGATACTGACCTTTTCCGAGATACGAGTAAGGGTGTACGATTACCAAATATTTAGGTTTCTCCGTCTAGTTGATCCGGATGAAGCAAATGTTCTTATCTTCGTGAACATTCCTGATTTAAGATACCGCCTAAAATTAGGAAATGTTGTGCTGGGTGGCTGCATAGCAATGAATGCAGTTAGACTCGCACACACAAGCCTTCAGACTCTCACGTGCCACAGTTCGGTTAATGTTCAACAAACATCGATATTTAACTCAATGGCTCTATCTCCGTTTAAACCACAGAAGTAAAAGGGTTTCTGACTTCTCTGTCCATTTCTATTTGGTAACGTTTTGGTGATGGCTCTGGTCAGCAGGCAAAAAGTGTAGTCATCCCAATCCCCTCCCCGAACAAAGAGTGGTCTGTAGGACTGACCGTGGCCATCTTGCGCTGCTCTGCCAGTTTCTGCAGCTGGTAGGATTTGTCCTCTGTTTTTATGAATCCCTTCTTCACATCTTCCAATGCCTAGGACAGACGGGTATTATGTAAGGTCACTGCACAAAAATAATTATCCTATTAAAAACATTGAGCAGAAGGACATTATGCCTCAAGTAACCACATTCAATCAATGACAGCAGTTACTTATGTGTACATCTTAAAGTGGCTGTAATCAATATTTCTACGTTACCAACGATCAACATTGTGAAAGGGGGTCGTGTTCGTAGTGATTTATGCAGCTGCCTTAAGATCAGCTAAACAGAGCTCAACAACAAGTTTAAACTCGTCGGCTGACTTTAAAGCAGAAACTGCTGTTATGGGTCACTGCTAAACCTCGCCTGCCTAAAACGCTTCAGGCAGTGACCTTTATTAGTCAGCGGACAGCTTGTAGACTGCTGCTGCTGCTATGTTGTGTTTTTGTGCATTTCCATTCGAGGATTATTTCCGTTCACACGTTATACTTATACTAGATTATTATGGTTCTCTGGTCCTGATTAAGGACATGAGTGGTAGCATTTCAAAGCCTAGACTGCAAGATACTATATAATCAGATTGTGTTTAATGTCTAGGAAAGCTGGATAAAATAACAAGTACGCATTGATCTACATGAGTGAACCTGTGTGTGTGTGTTTACACTGAATGCAGATATATTCAAAAGCCACGGTAAAAAAACATTTTCACTGTGGGAATAATGAACGAGACTGAACCGGATGATTTTAAAACCAGTTTAAGTGGGTTAGAGTAAAAGAGGAGAGAAATACAGTTATTATACCAGAAATAATACATGTAAAAAAAAAAAAAATTTCAGAAACCTCCAACATGTTTGAACAGCTTCAACTCAGAGAGGAGTATATGAACTCTTGAGAAGAAAAGCCCAGAAGAACACAGTTTGAGCCACGTTCCCTGACGTCCGTGGCAAGTGGGGTTAAATTATTGTTGTCACCTGGTGGAAGCAGTAGTGCAGCGCCAGCGGGTTGTCTCTTAGCAACTCCTCCTCCTGGAAGCTGAACAACCATTTGCGGAGCGCCAAGCACGTCCCCGGCACTGCTGATGTGTAGTTCTGCACATAAAGCTTGTGGGGAAACTCATTAGGAACCAGCTTCCGCACTGCAACAAATAATAGAAAGGAGAGGGGGGGGGGGGGGTTGTCCGTTCAGTCACTAGAAAATAATTCATTCTGGCCTCGTGTGCAACATTACCTGCCCTTGCTGTCCAAAACTGTGCATACCCTTAGGCCCAATGCATTCAAATAACCAGTGCATTGGTACAGGTCTTTATTTAGAAAACTCATGTGATAAGTCACCCAAGCAAGGCATTTAGAATCAAACAAGAGAAAAACAATGCTCTGTGAATTTCCATACAATGTCAATACACACACGGTTCTTACCAAAGGAGTGGTTGATGACTTCAAAAAGGGCAAAGTAGCTCGCCATAATACTGTCCATTCCAACCTTCATCACTAACGCCTACAGAAAGGACGATACAGTCACGTATGTCAGAGAAACAATGTTTGAGACTTTTTTATTGCACCATGAAAGTTGATCTTTTATAAAGTGTGTCTGTGTTATTTGTCCTTTCACTATGAATGCATGTTCTACACATAAGGAATATCATGTATTTACCAGTAGATATGATTTAATTTAGCAATTCTCAGTGTCATAATTCTAGCTAAGAACTGAATTCAAAGACAAATTCAGATGTCCAAAAAACAACGGGGCAATATACTGTACAATATCAGTGTATGACAGCATCCTCCCAGCAGATGTCATGTGATCTTACCTGGTACACCTGATCTGTGGTGCTGTTCTTGCGTACTCTGACAGAGATGGTGGTCTTGTCTGGCAGGGCTATCCGCAGCTCTACGTCTGTCACTCCATTGTAGTTCTGCACAGCGAAGCAACACGTAATGAGAACAGCTGTAGAGCTGGCTTAACAAGGGTGCGTGCCTGCTTGTATGAGTGTGCGTTTGTTCTGAATTACTGGTGAATGCTTCATTTACATCAGAACTATAAAAAAATAAGCAAAGAAGACACAACTAAACCAGAACTACTATCAGTTTTGGTCCTGCTCCTCCTATTTATGCTTCTTTAAGTGCTATTGCATTTGTCTCTGATGCTGTCATTCATTCAACACTAGAAAGGCAATGCAATTAACTGTTAAATTGTTTTGGGTCTCACATTTAAACTCCACGCTGGCAGACATGATGGCAGACAGCTACTTTGAAGGAATTAAACTTGACTACTGATGCTTGTTTATGGAAAATAGCCTACTTCTTTTTGCACTAAAAGACTAAAAAGGAGGTTGATGGATAAACGTGGCACTGTGCAGATCCTCTTCCTCACAAGACAAACAACGTTTCAAAGCTCAGAATCAAAATTCACACAGAAATAGCAAAAGCCAAATCTATTACAGTCCATGTCAGAACAATAATAAATAAGATGCATACCTCATCTGATTCAGAGAGAAACTCCTGCATGATGTCACTCTCCCCGACCACCCGCACAGAGCAAACTAGAGACAAATACAGAAGCAGGTGGAGAGAAAGAGGGGGAGATCAAAGTAAATCAAATAAACATGCTTTGTTCAGATTTATAGTGTTTCAATATATGGTGGAACATTTTTCACAGCCAGAACTATTTTATATCCTAACTAAATGATTTCTGCATGTACACATTCAATCATTCCTTCGTAGGACTATTATGGACTCCGATGGGTCTGAATAGCTCATCGTACTTATACTTCAACCATGGAAAGTCAAGCTGCAATTCTTCTTAAACAACATGTGGCTTGGTAAGAGACAATCATTGAAAATTAGCAAACAATTGGGTTTACGTGCCAGTGACCTTCCATATGAGCCTACCTCGCTCGAGATATTCCTCCAGGCCTCTACGGCGAGCATCCAGCTGCTGTTCGGACAGGGAGAAGGGCCATTTACCAGGAAGCTTTGGGAAGTTGAAGTTAGAATACTCCCTCTTGAGGTTCTGGTGCAGGATGGCAAACTCCCGGTAGCGCTTTGAGCATAGCTGTCTACCTGACATGTACACGTTGTACACCTACGGTCATTGAGCCAAAGACAGGACAGAACAAGTGGTTTTCAATACCATTTTTAACAATCTAAATTTGAGGGGCAGCCGCAAGAGGTTGTAAAAGTTGTGTGTCAGATTGGTACTCACCACAAACCTCTCAGAGTGCTGCTCTACATGTTTGTACGTGGGAATAGAAATGGGCACTGCCTGCTTGTCGCTGTAGTCATAGTTAAGTTGAACTTCATCTCCTCCTTCCAAGCCATCTGCCTCCTGAGCAGGAACCGACAGCACAGCCAGAACCAGCTCCTTCTCCCCTGCACGGATGAGGTCCACCACCTGCTTGTGGGTGGCACCTTCCACGCTCACCCCATTACTGGAGGGAAAGTAAGAGCAAGAGAAAGGTGGAAGGAGGAGGAAGGGAGAGACAGAAGGAAAGTTGGCAATAAGTTTTAAAAACCCTCTTTTCCCACCGTTTTTTAAAAACTCATTTGAAATGCAGCAGGTAACAATTTGTTTGTAAAGTTAACACGAGGCCACGAATAGCTGTGGCACTAAAGACTCAGTTGTTGGCCCGCTTTGACTGAATGAATGCAACTAATAGTGCAAACGCTGAACTTCTAATGATTAGTCATGTGTGTCACAATAACCGATCCACACAATAAGGTCCGTAATGCATTTATAAATATATTAATGATAAATGATACGGTGCAGATCTGCAATGAAAGTGTCCTTCTGTTAGCGCTGCAAAATATGCATCCTGCTCGTTTTACTAATCACGGTGTGTGGTAATGTCAGCGCATTTTGTCCTCCATTGATAAACACAATGTTGGGAGTGCTGAGTAACCAGGTCAGGTCTGATGTCTCTCTTTCCTTTGGTGCTGTGAGACACCTCCCTTCTTGGCTTTGCTGAGGCCAGATGGCCCCAGCATCAGGTGTCTCTGCTAATCGTCCTAAGAGAAACAGCGGGGCAGACACAGGAGAGGATGGTGCATGCAAGAGTCCAATCACTGGTCTGTCCACCATATGCCATGCCTCTCTTGTTGCTTATAAATGTTTATCTGTCGAGCATCGTGGATCAAAGTGGCATAAGTCTAACGGATAAAGAGGTCGTAGTTAAAAATAGACAACAATGGAAGGAATGGGAATAGAAAGCGACATGACGGGATTCCTCAGAGTCGTTCAACTAGATAGCAAAGGAGTAGGAGGTGACCAAAAAGATAAAGATTAAAGGAGAAGTTTTGGTCTCAACATTAATCTGATCCCATCATCCTCTTATTAGACACAACAGCAGCAAAGCAATGTCTGCCAGAAAGGTGTCACACTAGCTGATCAGCTACAAAGAGGGTTGGATGAATGTGAATTAGGCTAAGTGAAGTGTAGTTAATATGTTTGAATGAAATATTTAGTCTATGAAAGAATGGAACCGTGACGCATTCCTGTAACAATTTACAATGGCCTAAAGCAGAAAAAAAGTGAACATGAACTTGAGCAAAGCAAGTCTTCATATTATTTTAAAAGATATTGGGTATATTCTCTGAATATAAGATTTAACTATAAGATAAATCATTCTTTTTTTAAATTGTGAGAATCAATAATCAAAACTTGATGAGAATATTATCTGCTTTATAAAGGTGACTCTGAAAAATCTGATTCTACACAAACTATACACAGTAAAGTTTACTTAGTGAAGTCAGGAAATAGCTAAAGTTAGCTGGTTATCACCAGCGGTGGTGGAGCATTGTTACCCTTAATTGTTCATAAAACTAGTAAGATGCTGACACTTCACATAACTAACCGGAGGATTCTTCCGAGTTTCTCCGAAATGATCAAGGTGGTTAATAAGTCACATGATAAGCACTGGTATAGTCACATGACCAGAGAGAGCTGTAGCAGTAAACATGAAGAAAACAAAGGCTGAGTGAAACTCTTTTGGTGCCTCAGCAAGTAGATGTAGATCCTTGTTTTCTGTTCCTCTTCTCCCTTTGTCGAAGTTTAACCTGTGACCCAGTCACAGTAATACATGAACATGTTCAAATCCTGATGTTACAGCTTATAGGCCACACACACACACATATACTTCTAAGATTCACATACCTGTCATAATTGTACATAATTATTTACTATTAACATTTTGTTCATTTTACACAGCATTTACCTATTATTAGGGCCAAGGCTCACAACCACAGAGGGGGGGGGAAATCATTGATAGTTTGGTTTAATCATGCAAATATGAACTGAAGAGCTCCATGGGAACATAATTTCCCTTTTGTATTGCAAGTATCATTCTAGGTCTCACTTATATATATATCTGTTAAAAGTTAAAGGCTAGAAGAGACGTTTAACAATTAGGTTATTCGCATGAAAATCTCCTTTAGGGAAAGACTGACAGTTCATTAGCATTTTCAAGTCATGTACATTAACGCCAATCACGTGCACTTATTGAAATAAAGGGTCAAAACAAAAGACTAGAACTGTCCCATGTAAACATCATGCCAGTTGTGTTTATATTCAAGACAAGATGCGTGCACACTCTGAACATTTGATATTGAATCGTGCGTAACAACACTGCCATCCAATGTCTCCGGACAGGGTTAAAACACACCTCCACGCTATTATGGACATGACAATACAACCTCAACAAGATTGTCATTCGATTCCCGTCATTACCACCACGCTGAAGCAGTCACTGCGCAAAGTGAGCAAACAACAAATACGTTAGCTACCTGGCTCGCTAGCTAGCTACAGCTAATCAACATGCACAGCCTGTTGTCCAACTTATGTAAGACGGTTAGCTTTCTGGATAACTCTCCAGCGTTAGCTTTAGCTACAACACCAAGTGTTTAGCTACGTTAACGCATAACCTGGACAAATAACTAATTAGCTTGGTAAACGGCTTACATTACGTGTGCAGTCATAACAGACATGTGACGTAGCGTTATACCTTGAAGATAGCTCATATTAACGCATGCTTTGGATCAACACAGGCTAAATTAGGTAGCTAGCCTCACTTGCTAACTAACGTTACCTGGCCATGTTGAACCGATAGAGGCTGAACTTACACTTCCAGGATCCTGTCACCCTTTGCTATCCCAGCTCGGTCTGCCGCTCCTCCGGGTAAAACAGCGCTGACATGCTGAAGAGGAGCGTACAGCTCTCCGTTGATGCTCCGGAGCTGTCCTCCTTCGCTAACTTGACCGCGAACGTTGAACCCGTAGCCGGACTCCGACTTGACTATCCTCACCATCCGTGGACCTGACGTAACCGTAATGCTGGCTATGTTCTGGCCCGCGGTGTCCGCAGACGAACCGACAACCGGACCGTTACGGGATGCCGAAGGGGGAGCAGACTGAGTTTCATCGTCTTCTACATCCGCCATCTTATCCATAGGCCCTAGCCCCCCTTCCGATCGGTGTCTTATCGTAAATTCAAAACAACACTCGAGCTCTGTCCCTCAGTAAACGTTAGCACCACAGTCCTGATAACCCGCCCCTCAGCAGCGTCACGAGACACGGCCTCACAACGTGACTGGCCGGAGGCGTCACCCAAAGTCTGGTCTGTTGATCTTTTCAATGCGAAGTTATTCAATTGACAATAAATGAACAAAAAATACAACATAGGAAGACACGATTTATTGATTTATTTTATATATTGTAAGAAGATTTTTTTTTTTAGAAGTAACCTGTTTTTAACTTTCATTTTTTGATTGAACTCTCTCAGGAAAACTATAGATAATATGATTTCCACCTATATATGGCTCTTTTCAACTTTCCACTCCCTGATTTGTTGCCTTGTGACACAGACACAAACACTGATATCATTTAGCTTCTTCTCAAATGATCTTGAGTAATCCATATGATTGGGACAGGCAATCATGTGCTGTACAGGGTACAGGTGCTGATTACAAACTTTAAAACAGAGAGGGAGAAGTCATCTGTGAAGTCACCAGCTGCTGTGTTTGTTAGGAATGGAAGAATGCAGGTTGTCAGTCCTCAAGGCACACGGCTATTCATTATTACCAAAATGCACGGCGTTAAAATAATATTGGGGTTAAGGCTTCACAGTGCTTCAGTGACACACATCACCGATAGTGATCCTGGACTACAGTCCAAAACATTGATGTTGATTGAAGAAGCTGCAAGGACAAAAGTGCACAGTAAAAGAAAATCAGCAATGGACATTTAAAAAAAAGAATACCAATGCTACCAATGCTACCACTGAAAATACTTGATTTGAAGCTTGTATTCATTTTGCTAGAAAACTAGAAAACAAAAAATGTACTGATGTACTACAAATAAAAGTATTCATTTGTTCATCATGTTAAAGCATTCTTGCATCAACCCATGTGATAATCCATATACATCCCATTCATCCATCCATCCCCGCGCTACGGCCTCTCATCAAGGCAGCCCCTGCTGACATGCAGAGGCTGGGTAAACAAGTCAGGTCGCCAGTCCCTCACAGGGCTAACACATACAGACAACTGCATTCACAGTCACACCTATAAAGGCAATTTAGAATTGACAGTTCATCTGACCTGCATGTCTTGTGGCTGTGCGCAGTGGAACTGGGGCACTCACATGAGAGTCACACACAGGAAAACATGCAGACCTCCATGTAGAAAAGCCCCATGCCTGCCAGGTCAGATTTGAACCCAGGACCCATGAGGTGCTGGCCCGACACATCATATTTGATTTATTTGTATTACTTATTGCCAGCTCTGCGTGTTTAACCTCTTTTTAGAAAAGAAAGCCATCACATACTGTATATGTATAGTGGAGTCTATAACAAAACAAAATATTCAGGTAAAGTTACAATAGTATATTAAAACCATAAAGCAAGACTGTGTTACTTGAACTAAAATGGGTTAGGTATGATTAGGTCAGCTTGTACAACAACACCTAAAGTTTGCCAATTGATAAATAACCATTATCCACCATAAGCTACTGCAATATACCAGACCTAGTAAAGCCGTAACAGAAAACTGTATAGAATTGTGTTATTGCTTATGACTTTACACTTCTAGCTCTAAATACGATAAGCAACATCAATGACACCCTTTCTGTTTTAACCTGCGGTTGTATTGCTCCTTTCCTGAAGTTAATCCAGCTGTTCCCCTCACCACACAGTCAGACAAAGTGTTTCAAAGTAAGAAGTTTATTTCATTGTGCGTTACAATATAATGTTTTGTGCCTTTATGGTAATTTAGTTAATTGGAGTTAATGTTTACTCCTTATCAGAACAGCTGTCATGGGATCTCTTTCACAGGAAGGCAGCTCTCTATGCTGGCCCCAAGGTGACGCTTGGATCCTTATTTTTTGGAGAAGTGGTCGTGGCACATTACGGTGATGCAGCTGACCAAGTTGGTAAACTCGTTGAAGTCCACACTGTTGTCCTGGTTTGCGTCCAGGCCCTTGAAGAGGCTGTCCAGAGCCTTCTTGTCAGAGGCTTTCTACAGGTGACAAATGCGTGGAAAATTGTCACTGGGCATGTGCACGACCGGAGAGTTCTACAGGCTGTGATGATGTACACATTCTACCACAAGCATTTACCAATCACAATGCATCACCACACAATGCACCACCATTTACAGTAGAGAGGCCAGAGGTCACTTACCCCCAGCATATCCCCAAATTCACTCTGAAGCAGCTCTTTCAGCTCTCCCTTAGTCAGGGTGTTCTTGTCCCCCTCCTTGCCGGCGTATTTATCGAAGGTGGCAATGAGGAGGGCCATAGCCTTCTGGGTGTCAGACATGATGATTGCTGGTTTTAAAGGGACAGAAAGAATAAAGAGTTCATTTTGACACATGGAATCTTTCCTCATGTCTCTGCATTGGTATGGTTGCACGGGTTCAGGTCAGATGGTTAGTATTTTTCCTTAAATATCTTCAGGTGACTCACTGAAGAAGTTGCTTGAGCATGATGCTCTCATTTAATGCTGCTGTGACTCCATCTAGAGGCAGAGTCTAGGTCTGGTAACTTTTACTGACGCGCCCCATAAGGAATCACGTGGCATTGTGGGCAAAAATGGGATGTTAACAAAGAACAACATTTATATCCACAACAGGTGGGAATGGTTTGGAGGGGAAAAAAATGGAAAACATCTGAGTTCATGAAGTCTGCTTCACTATTGCGCCAGTGTTGGCCAATTGTTTGTTTCCTTTTTACTCCTACTGCAGTTTAACTGGCTAATTTATTAATATACTATAATTGTTGAGACAATATACAATATATATATATATATATAAAGGAATGCAAACTAATTTATTGATTAAGATGTTTTGAGCAGCAGGTAGTGGCTGACATCATTGGTTTTGTCTCTGCCAGTGTTTTTCTCTGAGCTTTCCGTGCAGCTGGATAAAAATAAACCCACGGTTTCCACCGGGGCCCAGCCACTCTTCTTTCCCCCTGTCAACGGCCTGTAACGCACACTCTCTGCCGACTGACACAGGACATTGTTGTGGCAGCAGCTTAGTTGCTGCGGGTAACTCAGTCAAACATAAAGAAGATTTTTTTTCCACTGACTCCATGAACACAAGAGATTTGGTTGTGGTCGCATTCTGACTCACCTGGTGTCGCTCCCTCTCTGGGGTGTGGCAAGCGGAGGAGACTGTGGCAGCAGAGGGTTTGTGAACAGAGGGGAATTGTGCAAGCGAAACGAATATCATATTTCTGTTTGCTTTTAATTTCAAAGCAAATTTCGAAAGCTGGATGCTAACCTCTGAATGAACAATGCATCAGTGGAAGGACATTCCAGGCTGAAGTTTGCCAAATGACTGGCCTCAGAGCTAAATGAGCAGCGTTTGTTGCCACATTTGTTTCACAAGAAATGAAGGAAAAAACAAAACCCCGGAATGCACACTGAGCTGGTAACTCGGTAACTTTGAAGTTGCATTTAACACAACTGACATAAAATGTGTTGAGTTCAAAAGAATATCCTCTTGGAAAAAGGTTTTGGTGCATTTCTTTAAGTCAGTAAATGAAATCAAACAACAAACAAAATAATATTGTTTAGATTTTCTACTCACCAAAGCTGATTTGTAGAGATTTAAGGAGACTGGAGCGTAAAAGTCAGAGGAGCTGTAGTGATGGAAAATTATGCAAAGGGTGCTTTATAGACCACCACACCCTTCCTCCCTTCCGTCCTCCCTCCCTCCCTCTTTTTTTTTTTTTTTATCTCCAACCACTCCCACTATCCCCTTGTGGCCTGTTGGAATTTTGTCATTTCCTAAGTTATTCTTTCATAAACAGTGAATTTATCATTGTTGCTTAGAAAATCACCGTCAAACAGCTAATGATTATGCATGCTCGTTGTTTGGGAGTCTGCTTTGAGCATCAAAAACAATCTCTCTAATGTTATGAACACAAGATTGCATTTGAACTTGTGATTATTGTTATTAAGACTGTAGAAAGCATTAGATAGGTAGAGGAAGTGTAACAGTGTGATGCATCGTCTTTTTCAAAGCAAAAAGGAGATGTTTTGTACTACCTCATGCTTCTTACAGCTACAGTATAATTGAAGCCAATTTAGTCACGTGACAGAATTATAAAGAGCTTTTTCCACTTTTTGATGCAATGTATTAAAGTACATAGTAGTACTAGTTTTTCTTCCAGATAAAAACTTCTCTTAACGGAATATGAACTGCTATTATTAGTTGTTTAAAAAATGAATTTTGGGGAAACATCCAAAACCAGATTGCATTTTTCTCTTGTTCATTGAAGACGTTTTATAAACTGATGAATGGAAGGATGCAGCAGTTACTATGTGAACTGAATCACCACTTGTATTGATGTGGTCACATACAGCATGTTCTATTTAGAGGGTCACGTTTGTTAATCCTTTAAAAGAAAATATGCAACTCTGGAGTCAAGAGACAAATGCTGGAGGAGTTTTAGGTTTTTTTTTCTCCCCCAAAGAACTAACTTTAATCATTACATATTTTTGGGCATGCATTCTCAATCATAATTCTACTTCCTCCTCTTTGTTTGAGTTTACATTGTGAGTTTTTTCTGACTTTTCTAAAGACGAAGACCAAATGTGACGAGACTTTTGCTGCAATGCCCTTCTTGAAAATCTTGAAAAACAGAAACCAAAGCAATGAACAGTTATGTACATTTAAGTTAAATGTGTGTCAGATAATACTTTAATTGTATATTGTACTCACTCATTTCTTTTTGTGTATATAATTGACATTTTTTTCTGTTTTCATTTAACTGTTGGAGATGCACATGATTCCAAAATGAAAACATTTAGGCACAGTGACTCATTGTTATGGTCCTGAGTGGGCTCTCTCTTCCTTGCAATTTTGTGGTGGAGGCTGTGACTCACAATCATGTCCCCGAAGCTCATGAGTCAGCTGCAGAGACCAGAAATCAGAGACAGAAGAATTAGCACTGTGGCAACTCGGTGCGATGTGTGTGTGGTCCGTCGCATGACTTTGGAGATATCCAAGGCCTTTTCCTGTCTCTCCTGTTTGGGCATAGTGCAATTGTTTTGGTCTCTAATTAACAACTTCAATCAAAGTACTGATGATAGGTTGGAAGTCAAGTCACCAACATTCATGTAGTCTGCAACTGAATTTAGGATTTCTACATTGCATCGTTCTTTTTCACTGTGTGGAAACTTTTAGTCAAACTTTTTTCCTTCTTCTTCTCCCCTCCCCGTCCTACTCACTCAGATTGACCAAACGGGGAGGGAGTATCCATGGAAACCACATTTTGTAATCCAGCTGTGAGTCATATGAAACTATTTGCAGTTATCAGATGTTCACATGCAGCCAACATGATTATAGTTACTGTTATGCCATCTAGTGGTCAAGCAGAAGTACACTGAAAAGAAAGCGTATTTTCAGAGGGTTCACTTGCGGCCATGAGTCTTTTCTTGATTCATATTACCACCGACTGCACTTTTTAATGTAACATCCACCCAGGATTTGAGAAATACTGCGGTCATTATGAGGCTCCACAATACTCCCCGCACCACCCTCAGAAGACTTTGACATTCTTTTTAATAGGCAGCATTTTAAGGGTTTATTAGAGACACAAGGAGAAAAAGTTTGGGAAAAGTGTTGGCTCACATTTTTATATCATCCGCTGCAACCAGATCACAATAGTTTGATGTCATTTTCCATGGCAGCAGCTACAAACCGGATGTTGGAAGGGTTTGTTGGGTTCAGAACGTTGCTGTTATTGTTTAACAAACTGAATTGTCCACATAGAGGAGCTGTTCTTCCTGTGTGTGTGTGTCCAAGGAAGGTGCGGCATTCATTCCCGAATTTTTGCTTATCTCTAAAGTCAAACCAATACACACCTTCACTCTGTGTCAGTTCGAGAAATGTTAAAACTGTGAGAGTAAGCATACTAAGCATGGCTTCATCCCACTTGTGACAAAGGTAATAATTAAGTCTACTAAGTGAGCAAATATGGGCCTCTTCATTTACCTCGCTTGCTTCATGCTTGAAGAGAGTTATTTATCCTCACAAATACTGATTGCATTGTTTAAGGCCGCATGATGAACATACAGCATGTATCGTATCATGTAACGTCGATGAATTTAGTGCACCTCTTGCTTAACTACACAAAAGGGAAAACAGTCAACAAAGTGGGAAATCCCGGCTGTAGCCTCAGCTGTAGGTCACATGGGTGTGGTGCCTGTGTAAACTGAGGGGGGGGGGATACAGACACACACACACACTCGTGCTTTGTAACCTAGCAACTTGAGTGTTTCCCCTGTAACCATGCGCTCTGGTAGGCCACAGAGCAAGGCTCTGCCTTAAGGGTGTGTGTGAAGGGCTTAGGAGACCATTTCCCCCTGAGTTTTGCCTCCGAGGCAGGCCTTCCTCAGGCAGTAAAGGTTCTGAGGAGTCACTGGGATTGGCAGACCCTGACCTCAACAGTTGCACCCATAATTATAGGAGTCATATCTTAATCATTTATGACTAAAATATTTGATGGGAGGAGCTTGTCAGTGGCAGAACAAAGCCTGAGAGGAAGTGTTGCCTGAGAGACCTTATTTTAGAAAGAAAAAAAAGTCTCTCTTCAGTTCAGGAAGAGTCAGAAGGAGGGGGTTATCCTGGTCATCTCTTGTGTTATCCACGTTTCACCAGACATGAAACAAAATGAAAAGAATTTGGTGGAAACAGTGGTGTACTGTCGCGCTGTGCCATGTGACTCCACATTTCCACACCGTGCCCAAGAACGTCCGGCTCAATCAAATCTAATCTACAAGAATGCAACAAACTTTATTCAGTTACAAAGCACCCGATCACCTTATTCATCTGCTCATGAGAATCATGATTCAGAGAACTGCAACAGCCTGCTTCACAGAGAGGCGCGCTCACAACCTGAACATTCTGCAGATTCCTCAGAGCAGCGATAAGCAGGACTTTATGGAGCAGTGAGGGAGGACTTTCACACTCAGGGAAGCATGAATTACAGGTGGGAATTACATCATCACACCTAGTGTTTATGGTACAGTTGCCAAGGGAGTCAGTCCACTTGTGATCTCTGGAATGAGCTTCTCCAGGGCGTGAATTCAGCACAATGCTCCGCATGGGGAAGAGCAATAACGAAGGGCTTTGTGTCCATTTTTTATATTTATACGCGTAAAAAACACTAGAAACTAAAAGAGGGGCAGTTGTGCTTTTATGTTTGAATGAGAAAAAAAATGCAGGCCTATGATAACTTGCAGGCAAACGTGTACTTAAACATATGTAACTTGCATATACACATACAATAACCACCAGACACAACAGGTTTGAAATTCTTCAGTGTATTTAATGAACAAAACTATCTTTACAAAACTTGACATGCTTTTTGGTTTCTTTCTTTTCTCCAGCTGTTGTCGTTTACTTCTTCCCCATCTTCATTTCCTGCTGGTAGCACTGCTCACAGGCAATGGAAAGTCCAACAACCAGGGAAACAAACTCCTCAAAGTCAACCTGGCCATCACAGTTGCTGTCCAGGTCCTTCATGATTTTGTCCACAGCAGCAGGGTCCTTCTGAGACTGGGTTAAAAAAGGGGTCATGAGGTGAGCTTCAACAAGAAAACTCTGGGTTATACCGTATTATGTGATGAATTATTTTACAATCATCATGTCTAAGTCGTGGACACTGTGATTATGCACTTAACACATTGGTCCCGTCTCACCTTGAGGAAGTTAGACAGCTCGTTCTCCATCAACTGTCTGAGCTGTCCCCGGCTGAGTCCGTATTTCTTGCCTTCCTTAGTGGCGTAGCGGTGGAACACCTTGATGAGTGACTCCATGGCCGTCTCCAGTTCTGAAGGCATGGCTGCTGACGTGTGTTTGGACTGAAAAAAAACAAAAGTCCAAACAGAGAATAAATTGTTGATTATGATCGGTGATAGCGTAGAGTTTAGCAGACAATTCTGGATCAACTTTCATGAAAAAATGGAAAAGAGGTTGTTTGTTTTGTAACACTTGATGATACTGATGAGCTTATCTAAGGATATGAAAGGGCACGGAGGGTTCAAAAGCCAGGGAGCTGATCCCCTCAGTGTAAACAGTCTCCTTTATTTGCAGGAAATAAAAGCTGGATTTACAATCGTCCCCTCCTGTAGTGAGACTGAGCTTCATCAGAGGATCTTGCAAAGAAAATATTCCGTGTCTTGCACTGTAAACGACTTGACTGTAAATTCACAGTAAAATACTGGCTACTAGTTGCATCACCTATGGGTGAACTGAAGGTCAAATTCTGCAAAAGTGGACATTGCATTTAATGAGGATGTCATGTAGCTCAATGATGGGGTAACACCTTTCTCTTCACGCCCTTCCACACAATGTGTAATACTCACAGGGAGTGTGAGCTCTGCTATTAGGTTGTTAGAATAACAACAACAAAAGAAATCACTCAAAACTCAAAAGAGTCTGTTCTGTCTCCAACTGTTGCTGTGATTACAACAGTACAAAAGGAGAAGTGGGAGGGAAAACAGGGGCTGAGTGTTATGTGAGTTAGAGGGAATGGAAAACTTTAGCTGAATGAGGGGAAAAATGTGCGGATAGACAAAATGGTGGTTGTGCAGCAAATGAGAGGAGACGCTATAGCCACATGTCCACAGTCCAACCACACCCTCTGTAGAGCACCTATACAGGCTACAGGGACGTGTGTATGTGTATGTGTTGACATTACACAAGAATAAGAGGAGTAAAATGTGATAAACTGGAGAGAAATAGGAGCCGATTTTCAGTAAGTGCTTATTGTATCAGCTAAATGTATAAATCTTCTGTAATTATTAAAAAAAAGTGTGAGCTCAAAAGTAAAAAAAAAAAAAAGGACAATCATATCAATACATTGCAACATTTTTCAATAGATAGAAATAAAGAATACTAGTCTACGTAATAGCACAAAAAGTAAAATAATTATGTAACAGAAACTGTATTAAGAATACACAGACATGCTTCCCTTCAGGCAAACTTTGATTGGCAGATTTTAAAAGAAGTAATTAATCCTCATTGATCTTCCCCACCCAGCTGCGTGTAGCTGCAAGAGTTACAGGATTTATGAAAATCCTCCCGGAGTTAGACAGGACCGTTACATACCGATATAGTTCTTACCGTGCAGGGCTGGGCTGGACGTCGTCGGCAGAGGAGAGATGGGAATGTGTAATGGTCGGGAAAAAGTGCAGCAGAGGTTTTATAGTGAGACGCCGCCCTGACTGCTGAGCAGTGAGTCAACCTGCGGTGTGGACAGTGGACCCTATCGACTGGAAGCGAGGCTGTGCAGACGGTGGTGGGCGGTAACTCCATATAGTAATAAACTTCAAATGAGGTTTTGGGAGATGTTGGACTAACTTACAACGACTGAATATAGAAACTCAACTGAAGATATCATGTATAAGGTGTAGAGGAGAAAAAATGCCATCACAACATGATTACTAATCGATTAATCATCTTTCACATGAAATGTGTTCTTGTGCTAGAAGTCATTTTCCGCCCCCTTTGACACTGGTATGCTGCAACACAAGACCAATACTATCAGCTATCTGTTCAGTCGACTAATGATGAATTGCAGAAAATAGCAAAGAGTCAAATAGAGACCCTGCTGGACTCAACAACACATGGTGGAGTTAATGAATGGGGCTCGATGTAATCAGCAGCTTTGTTTGAACCACACAAAGTCTCTCAGTGACTGCCAACACATGCAACAATGTACACAGTGTGCTAAAGTCAATAATAGTTTACAGTGTTGTTCCTTGTTGGTACTTTAAGTATATTTTAATGCTTTGTACTTTTAATAAAGTAGAAAATGTAAATGCATGGCTCTTACTAACAGTATTAGTATCTCTGCACTGCGGTCTGTTTGTCCAATGAGTGATATTCTCCTCTCGTGCTCATGGACTGACTGAGCGGGGATTTGAGAAATGTAAAATGTAACTATAAGATGTGGACCTTAGCAGTGGTGAAATAAGTATCCAGACGCTTAACTTAGGTATACTATAATATAAAATAAACACTTCATTGCAAGTAAAAGTATTCAAGATCTTCAAAAGTAACCTATTATCAGTAAGATATACTTCCCAAGTAAAAGTAGGCTACTTATTATCAATAATAGGCCCTGTCAGCATTATGTTTTGTATATTTTAATCTTGGATTAGTGATGCATTAATGTGCAAGTTTTGTTTTTAATGTCTCTAATTTGAACAATTACATCCATGAATCAACTTATATCTTTGAAAACTAATTTGGAAAATATGAATCTGAAAATTGAATAAATATGTCAGATAACTCAAGAGCAGTGGTAAAAGTTTACATTTCTATTGCAATTGATTGAGGAGATGCCTGAATAGAGCTCTTTGTCACCACCTTGTGGATATAATTAGTAATACGACTGAGGACCGGCATACTGTTTAGTTTCTACAACATTATGGTCAATGGATGTGTTTCTGTGTTTATATGACAAATAATGTATTTGTTCCCATATTGAAAATACAAATACCCAGAGCTGCTGCTGCTGTTTTTTTCTCTGCAATGCAAACTCAAGCGGTGGAATGTATATGTAAGTACATTTACTCAAATCTAAGAACAATTTGGAGGTACTTGTATGTCATCTGAGTATTTCTATTTGATGCTACTTCATACATCAACTCCACTAAAATTCAGAGGAAAAAGCTATTTTTTTATCTGCACCATATTTATCTGACAGCTATACAGACACTTTAAAGATATAACATTTACATATGATGAGTTCATATGACATGATGCATTGTTAAAGATTGAACAACCCAGCAGTATATAAAGCAGTTAGAATGAGCCCAACCTCAACTAGCTACAACATTAAAATGTTGCTTACACTGTAAATGACCATGATCAATGATGGGTACTTTTACTTTTGATACTTTGAGTTCATTTTGCTGACAATATGTCTGTGCTTTTACTTAAGTATCCTTTTGAAAGCAGGAATTTTACTTTGTAAAACATTGTTGATATTTGTATGGTTTTGCTTTTACTCAAGTGAAGTCTCAGTACTTCTTCCACAGGAGTCTTGTGATGAATTAAGCCGTACTCATGCAAGAGCTATTCTGTTTGTGTCACGGTCAATGAAATCCAACTTAACTGCACAAGCAGCAGCTTAACTGAACTAGCAAACTAGAACACAAATGTGTCTTTGTATTCTCTAGTGTCCATTGGGCTAAACCAGCAGACGGACCCAGAAGTTTCCACTCACACGAAGCTTTCTTCGTTGAGTTTCTACATTCTGTGCAGTCTGGCTCTGATATTGCAAGAGAGTATGATTTAATACAGAACTAATGCAATGTTTCCCCACAAATTGGCTTTCGTACTATCTGTCTGCTGTGGCTTGATTGAATGTATCCTTTCGTGAATTACACGTTCAAGTGAAGAGCTGTGATTACTGTCTATTATGCATCAAACTATGAAAAGAAAAGAATACACAATATTAAGTATCGTAATGTTATGTTATGTGCATACAGTGTTTAAGCGCTATCTAGTGGACAAACATATTGATCAATCTTACCATAAAAGATTTTTGTGGTGAAAGTTAAAAAGTAACCACACATGCTGATGTGGACTTGACCCCACATTGCTGGAAAGGACGAACATTGAATATGTCACACTCTACTTTCCCCAGTAATTTTTGTTTATCTTGTTCCGCTATATATAGGAAAACATCCAAATGTCTACTAATTAAGTCAATAAAATAAAATAAATAGAAATACATACAGTAAATATGAAAAAGACCTTTTGCAATTTAATTGACATCTTACTTTGCGTACAAGCCATAATTGTATAGTACATGATGCACTGATGATTAAACTGCATGTGAGTTATAAAACCTTGTTCAAATTCGCTCCACATCCACCAGCTGTAGTAAAGTCTTGTTTACATGTTACTGCATCAGTAGTAATAATCACATGATATATTATTAACATAACGCTTCATCCCAGGTAATGTTGCCAGTGACATTCTGTGTTTACAGTTAAACCCGAGGCGCAGCGCCACATAGTGGCCAAAGAGTATTTTTTCCACACCCATGGGGCATTTCTTCCCCACAGCTGTGCGGGGCTAACAGATTATTTTCTGAGGATCCTGAAAACGTTTTCCGTCTCCACGGCTTTACATTTCTGTAACGGTCGAAGATGTCATTGAGGAAACAATATGCAGCTTGATGAGAGATTCACTATTGTTTATAATATTGGATTCAGACCGCTATGGCATCAAGCTTCCAGCCCGCTGTGTGCCACATCATTTGAAGGCGTCCGTTGCGGGATGGGAAGGGTGGGGGGCAGGATGTCTGGGTGAGGAATAAAGCCACAGGCATCTCTTAGAGTGGATATACATAACAACATATTTAGAAAACGGTGGCTTCATATGTTTTTTTTATTCAGAAGATGTTTTTCTGCTTTTTGGTTTTTCGTGCGTAAAAAACCCAGATCGAGTGTCTTTTGAAAAAAAATCTTAAGAAAACAAGGAATTTACCACACGGTAAACGGGCAAAGATTTTATTATAGGGAATAGTTTTGTATATGTACCGTATGGTGTATGGCCTAGATACATCGCGATTTGTGTCCAGATGATAAAACCAAGAGGCAGCTATTTTCTTAAAATGGCAGAGATGGATTTAAAAACAGCCACATCAACGATGGAAGCATTGGTTCGTATAAGTGTGAGTATAATATGACTGTGTATGTGTTGTCACTGGTTGTATAATCACATTACGATACATATTTTAAAGAAATTCTTATTCGAATACAGCCTGCATTTTGAAATGGAGAACCGCTTGGATGGCACGTCTCCATGTTTCACCTGCCGCATCCATTTATGTCAAATTGGCCTTCCATATATTTTTCTGCACCCAGGAGAAAGGCTGTTGAAATAAAATGTAATTCATTTTCTAAAATAGCCATAACATATTGTCCATCCTCAATCGTGGTACACAATCGTTCGTTATGTTGTCTTGATGCTGAAACTCACGTTAACGGAGGTCCTAAAATGCCTCAGTGCACCAGACTAAATTGCTCCTCAGAAATGGAGGAAAGCATGCTCTTTTTCTAATTATATACTAGCGTGCTCCATTATTAAATGTCAAAACAGCGTGAGTGCAGAGTGAAAAGACACGTTTCTATTTTTGGGGGCTCGCGGGATGGTCGTTTCCATGGAGACGGGATGCAGGACCTTCGGATGCTGAGGCAATTAAGGGGAGGAAAAAAAAGGCTCTGAGCGTGCTGTAGCAGATGGTTACAAATAGAGCACCGGGGCCGACTATATGTTGCAGCACCCTATGTTACAGCACATACCACATTAAAACAGCTCAGAAAACAAGCATGATTTCTGGTGTTGTCGAATCAGCCACTACGGTCGTTTCGTGCAAAACCCATCTAACCGGCGCGGAGGGCTCATCGCTCGCGATAAAATCATGCCTCAAACCCCTCCCCTTCTTTCCAAGAGACGCGCAGCGCTCCGTTGATGCTGGAGTTACACACGTAGTCTGCTGCCATGGCGCCTAGATTCCAGGTGAAGGTAAGGATGTCGCATCGCCTGTTTCACGCCTTCACCGCGCTGGGCTCAGCACTAGCAGTGCGCACTATCCACCGGCGATGTATACAACACAGCCACAGTCCGTCGTGCTGCATAGCCTGTAGCCTGCTGGGATTGTAATAGGCTGAAACTGCGATAGGCAACATTGCTAGAGAAGAGAAAGGCAGGCCGGAGTTGACATTGGAGAATGACACAGAGCGACTGGGCTTCACTGAGGAGGAATGTAGGTTATTTTGATTAATCCAATTACTCCAATGTAATGCTTCAGTATAGGGTAGCCTATATAGGTCTAAGTGGGTTTCTTTCCTCCCGCTGCAGACTAATTCTGTCTCAAACGTATCGGCAGCTGTTATTATATTTGACTATGTAAACTGGGAAGATATTACTTTCCACAATCCACTTGTAGTCCGATTTGTGAATTTTCGTCCAGCTGTGTAACACTGTGTGAGCTCCTGGCCTTAAAATCAAATGTACATTTTACTGTATGATCCCCTCTGTATTATCCCCTAATTCTGCATCCACATCCCCAGAATCATGGGTGTTAACAGCGGTTTCTGGTGTGCTGTGATAAGCTGTCCCGATGCTGCATCTCATCACATCACAGCCCCCCAAACCCGTCTGTGCAGCAGCAGCACCGTCTGTCAGTTTGTCTTTTGCCTACTGACTCTGGCCCTGCTAACACTATGATGGGCTGCAGGTTGAGGTTGTGAGTCAAGGGCATCTTATTGCAACAAAGAGATGCTGACTGAACACTAAAAGTGAGTAATTATAACACCAGCGAGGAGAAATGGCTAAAGGAACAGGTCCCTTCGACCGTCTCATTGTTAATGAGGCACGGTAGTCTTTTGGTTGGACCGACTGTAGCTGTGAAGTCTGTGGAGGTTACTGCAACAGCCAGAGTCCTTTTCTATCCAATGTCCTTGAGCAGGACTTCAACATGCTTACTGCCTCAGAGGTGCAGCTTTTCACACCCCCCGCCCCCTCAACTATCCCCACCTCTGGCCACTGTGGTTACATCGAGTACTGAAGGTGCTGATTCAGCAGAGAGGTATACTTGAGAAGCTCGCCTAAATACAAAGAAACAACTCCAATAATCTGTACATTATGTGGCAAATCTTATATGACAAATGTGTCTTTGTACAGTGAATTATTCCTTGTTATCGATTTCATGATGGGTCACTATTTACTTCTGAGTAAATACAGAGTAAAAAAATATGCCATGAAGACTGAAAAGGCCATCTCTTGCTTATCCAAAAGCATATGTGACTAATGGCTAAAGAGCTCATGTTGATGTGCAGAGCTGCGGTTTAAGGGATGCACTCTGCAGTGGTTCAATAATTAATGCCTGGCCTTTTTCTATATTTAACAAGAATGATGCCCTATGTCGCCTGGGACAGCTTTTTCCCATTGCCACGTCTCTCTCTCTCTCTCAGTTCAGTCTCTCTATCTCATGTGATGTTGAACCTCCTCGGTGGTACCGACTAGAATGTGTACAGAAAACTGTCAAGTACAGAAAATTGGCTTTGAGTGCCTGGTCAGATTCCTAAAATCTTAACAATTTGCTTAGTCTTTTGTCAGATAGTTTTCTGATTTAAATCAAAATGTTGCAGATTTTCTTGTTCACACAAAATTAGATTTTTTTCAAAGCTTTTGCTGTTTTTGTTAAATGAAAATGATTTTTTAATAAAAGGGTTAGGGATTTATATTTCTCATACAAATATTGTTCGGTATTCGGTAACTTATAATTAGTGAAAAACTTAAAATGACACCTGCAAGCTTTACTTTTCCCCTTACAGGCTAATTGTGCACATTTCTACCTCTCTGTGTGTTACATGCTCTTACATTGTGCAGATCATAACCCCTCACCTCTTTGCCTCCGACAGTCCAACATGAAGAGCCTGGAGAATGAGCTGCATTGCACCGTGTGTAAGGACATAGTCAAACAGCCCGTGGTCCTGCCATGCCAGCACAGTGTCTGCCTCATGTGTGCCTCGGAGGTCTTGGTGGCAAACGGCTACCCGCCTCCGGATCTGCCCCCGGAGCCAAACTCCCCAGCCTCCACACCCAACACCCGCTCCCCCCGTCAGGCCCGAAGGCCTACACCTAAAGCTGAGCAGCGACCTATTGACCGCGTGCTGCGGGCAGGTTTGGAATGCTTCTTCTTCCGCCATATCGATTTAATCTGTCGAGGGGGACATTTATGTCTTGTGTGGATAAAAACGGGGGCTTTTTTTGATGCGAGTGATTTGGATTGCATACTGATATGCAAACCATGTGATTACACGCAAACCTTCCCTTGATCCACTGTCGTTTTCTGTCTCCCTCTGCTCATAACTGGCTTTTCTTCTTGGTTTGAGGTCCCCACCCGTCTTCGCCATCCATGCCCCGGTCTCCGGGATACGGCACGTATCCGGGGCGTCGCCGTAAGGAGGGCCCACCCCTGGTGATGATGTTCCCCTGTATCCCGTGCGGCCGAGATGTTGAGCTGGGAGAGAAGGGCCTTACTGACTGTCTGCGCAACCTCACCTTAGAGCGTATAGTGGAGAGGTAGGTACCACACACACACACACGAGCTGGGAGAGAAGGGCCTTACTGACTGTCTGCGCAACCTCACCTTAGAGCGTATAGTGGAGAGGTAGGTACCACACACACACACACACACACACACACACACACACCCTTTTCAGCCAAAAAAGTGAAATGCAAAAATATGCACAAAAGTACCCACACAGGGATCTTGTCCTTCAGTGGTTATGGTGTTTTGTGCCAAATGCACATGAGTAGTTGATTTGGGCGGGAAAAACAGAGGGTGTGGGAACATGTCCCATTTGGATTGTAATTATTCAGCAACAACTCAGCTGTTGATGAATCCTGCGGAGTGTGCACTGCAACATATTGTAGCTACCAAGGCTGACTGTGTGCTTGCATAGTCCAGTGGCTTCGTGCTCACTTTATAACCCATTCAATACCACTTGGCTCTCTCTCTCACAGTGGGCCTTTTGCCCTCTCATTTAATTGTGTTCAAAACCTTTACATTTCTTTTGATTAGAATTTTACTCATGTCTATAATAGATTTAAGCTTTTGACTTTAACCCGTATGTGTGTGTGTGTGTCTGAGAGAGAATGTAAGTGCGCATCTCTGTGTCTGTCCATGGCTAATCTGGCATACCGCTGCACCAAACTGCATAATATTTTATGGTGCTCGTTTATGGCTGCATGCTCAAAGGACGTCTCGGTGTTGCAGTGACTCACACTTTGTTAGGACACCTTTCTTTGCTTGTTTGATACCGACATTGATTGGACTGCTGTATGCCGACTGCTGGACCACTACTCTTAACCGGCAACTGGGTAGTAGGGTTTCATCACCGCTGCTCTGCGGCTGCTCTGCGGCTGCTCTGCGGCCAGAGACAGAGTGAGGGAAAACCGTTTCACACTTTGTTTTGGATGGTGTGTTTGGCTAACAGCTAACGGAACTACACACACAGCTGACTGCATTACCGCCGCTCTGCGGCTGCCATGCAGCTGCTATGCAGCCAGAGACACAGTCATGCTGTGCTGTTTTATTGGGCATTAACCTCGCGTTTACAGGCAGATTGCCAAAAAAATAGACATGGAGCTTAAATAAATGCTTCCATGAGATGAATCTGAGATGCGCTTATGCACACAGCCGGTGCAGACATCTGCATAGATTAAATGATAGTGTATCTGTTGTGTGAGACATACAGGTGGAAAACGCAGGTGAAAAGCGCGTCTAGATGACTTTCAGTCTAGTCGGGGGTTTAGCCGTCTGTGGGTTGCATTACATCAAACATTACAGCAACGGTTGTTGCAGACACACCTGGTGTACATCTGCACTGAGTGCACCTTTCTGTTTGTTGGCAGATCTCTCTTCATAAAAAGTCATGAGATCACAATGGAACAAGCCTGCTTAAAGGTTAAATCCGTCTTTCTATCACTACCAGGTACAGACACACAGTGAGTCTGGGCAGTGTGGCTGTGATGTGCCAGTTCTGTAAACCTCCTCAAGCTCTGGAGGCCACCAAGGGCTGCGCTGACTGCAGGGCCAATTTCTGTAACGAGTGTTTCAAGCTGTATCACCCGTGGGGGACGCCACGAGCACAACACGAACATATCCAGCCGACGCTCAACTTCAGACCAAAGGTAAGACTTTGGAACAATCACTGTTAATCTACATTTTTAATAATAACATATCATGAACTTGCAGAGATTAAACCAATTATTTCAAAAACATTTTAAAACCTTTGGTACAACTTTGTAATAAGGCACCCTTTATACAGATGTATAAGTCATAACTACTGGCTTCAATTGTGGTTGATTTATCCTTAACTCATGCTTCACAGATAAGTTGTATGCCAAACATAAAACAATTTGCTAGGTTGTGAAGACATTTCTTTGATTGGTGTTGTGATCCTTTCTATGTGTTAATAATCCAAGTATAAATCATGGTAATATTTTAATAACTACTCATGGATTCCTCACTTTCCAATAAGCCATTCAGCATGCATTTTGAGGGTCCTATTGATTAATAAAAGAGCTAGATGAAAATATAAAGTGTAATCCTGAAGTGAGATCATTTTTCACAACCTGGCGACCAAAAGCAGATCAATAAAGCGTCAGAAATGATGCATTCAACACAATGAACCAGTTTCTCACAACTTGTAAAGCACTTATAAACGGTGCATTATTAGAAAGCGGTTCCAAGATTTTTGTACACTCGAAATATGACACAGATCTTATTTTTTGACTTGAACACAAAAGTCTGATATTTTTGTAATAGATTTGCAGCAGGTTGTTGGGCCAGCAACCACAGTGATGAAATAACAAACAAGAACAAAAATATGTATGTATACATTAAAACTTTAAAATTAAAATTAGCTATTCTTAACTATGTTTTTTCTGGACCTTCTGACTGCTGTTGGGCCATGTGGCGCTGTGATGTTACGTACACATACACACTTCCTTATAATAATCGTCTCTTTCTCCCTGGAGGTAAAATGTGCCGTAGATAAATACGTTGAGATGTAATTTAGCTCTTGTCCTCAGGTTCTGACCTGTCCGGAGCATGACCAGGAGAAGCTGCAGTTCTACTGCAGGTCCTGTCAGCGGCTGCTCTGCCCTCTCTGCAAACTGCGCCGCGTCCACACAGGACACAAGATCCTGCCAGTGGCCCACGCATACCAAGCCCTGAAGGTACGACTCTGAATCCCACATAGTCTGGACTGGGTTCCTCTAAATGCTCTGCAAAATGAAAGGCTTGATACAAAGGATAGTTCTGACAAACTCAGTTAAACATAGAAGTAGACATATATGATTGAAATTGATACTTGTATTTGCCTAATATCAGACAGAATTGTCGGCACATACTCGCTGGAGTGGAGGAATTCAAAGCTTCTGGACCCAGGCAATACTTTTTTTATCAGTAAAGGACTTTAAGGCTTTATTTCAAAATGTTGAAAAACAGCTTTCAGTGTATGAGAGACGAGCATCGTACAGTACTACAGAGCAGTGCAGTAAGTGTTGCAGAGTTAATGTGTAACCATTAAGCCGTCTGATGCGTATTTGTTGTATGCATTTCGTGTTGTTGCTGTTTATTTGACAGGAGAAGATTACGAAGGAGATGAACTACATTCTGTCCAACCAGGACACAGTTCTGTCCCAGATTACCCAGCTGGAGAGCTCCATCACTCAGACTGAGGTGATTAATTCTTAAAATGTTGCTGAACATAGAATTACTGTAACACCAGTCAGCAGCTAAACACCATAAAACTGCAGAGATGTTTTTTTTAGCAGCTTCTTTGACAGACTTGTCTTTTCTTTGCGACCTCACACACAACTTTTGAAAATTCATACATTGTTTATAACACAATATTATTAAGCTTTACTCATAGCTTTAATCATATATATGGATTTTGTTGAAGTCTTTATTATTGTATTTGTATTATTATTGTATTTATCAACAATAAGCCTGTGACATAACTGGAGTATTAACCTTTAATTATAGACTGATAACGAAGTTTTTACGTATGTACAAATAATTTATAGGCCAGTTTAATATGGTTTATAAATTTCAAAACCCATGAGGACAGTAACTTACTTCCTCCTGGAGCTTTTTAAGCTTTAAATCATGGCCTCCATCTGCTGGTTGGGTTTGCTAAGTTGTCATGAGAGTGAAGAAGGGTCTCGAATAAAAGAATACGGCAGAAATAACATTCAATTAATCAATATATTGCATAAATACTTAATATTAATACATGTGTAGAAATACTGTACCTTTTATATTCATTATATGGTACATTGTTACTTATTATCTATTTACATGCCAGTAATTGATGTTTTACAGGAGGAGTTGTGGCGTGATTGTTGACGAATACAATAGTAATAAGATAATGTCCTTATATCTGACTGCAACTACATTTTAGTGTGTTACAAATCTTTATTAATTGTCTATTTCCTGCTTATAAGTGCTACATAGGATAGGCTAATATAAAATGTCAATGGCATGTCATCATCCAATTTTATGTGTGATCGAACCTGTCTGACTCGACAGTCTACCTCAGCATCCGACTTTCACTCAATGAAAGCTGGATGTTGCCAAAGGTTTGAGCCGGCCCGTCTGCGTTGTTCTTCAACAGGTGAACAGTGTGTCAGCCAGAGAGCAGCTGGCTCAGAGCATCAGGGATCTGACGGCTGCTCTGGCCGAGCGCCACGCTTCGCTCACACAGGCTCTGGAGGTGGCGCGCAAGAAACGAGGCGAGGCGCTGTCCGCTCAAGTGGCGGAAAGGCGGGGCTTGATGGAACACACGGGGCTCATGGCGTTTACCCAGGAGCTGCTGAAAGAGACAGACCAGCCCTGCTTTGTGCAGGCCGCTCGCCAGACCCATAACAGGTTTTCTATTTGCTTGTCGTATCTTATTTGTTTTGGCATAGCTCTCTGCTGCCATTGAACTGATCTTAGGTTAGTTTTTCTTCCTTTGTTAGATTCCTTTCGTTTGTTCTCCCATTCGTACAGCTTTTACTCACACCTAGTCAGTGATTATTTTGCATTCAAAAACAAAATAGTCTTAAATGATAATGATGTTCTATATAATTGTTATTGTCGGCAAATCCATATAAAAACAGCAATAAACTGATCCTACTAACAAGTACCGCCTCTGTAGCCAAAGCCTGAATAAAGCTCATTCGTCTCTCCACATCAGTGTGCCACACCGTGTCACTGGCTGACGTGTTTCTCGCATAAATACTCACTAGTGCACCAAATATGTATGAATCCGCAGCTTAAAATAGTCCCCAAGAAATGCACGATGTACTTGTGTTTGAGAAACGTTAGCGAAGAACTACAGTGCCCAGCTGTAAATAACGACTTAATAAAACAATACATTTGTAACCCATCTTTAGTAGAATGTAATGGCTTGTGATTGAGCGACAAAGACGCATTATTGTTTTTAAAATCTTTTTTTGGTATTTGTTGACACTAAGAATAACAAAGAACGACGTCAGCCTAATCTTTTAAAGGTAATCATACACCCTTTCCTCCTCATCAGTCTGTTTCAGCCCTCACTGTTCCTCCTTAATTATTCTAACACTGCTCTCCCTGTTCCCCCCCCCCCCCCTTCCGCTCCCCTCCTCCCCCCTCCCCCCCCCTCCCCCCCCCCCCCCCCCACCCCTGCTGCATCAGGTTCAGCAAAGCAATTGAGAATCTCGAGCATTTCACTCTGGCTGCTGACCCATCCTTCAGACATTTCCAGCTGGACGTCTCCAAAGAACTCAAACTCCTGACAGAGTTGAACTTCATCCAGGGTGAGGAGGGGAGTGATGGGAGGATGGGAGCGGAAGGGAAAGGGTGGGGAACACGATAAGAAAGGAAGGGAGTAGAAGACGACAGGAGCTTTTTGACAGCTTTCTTATCTCTCTTAAACTGTCTTATGAAGAAGAGTAACATAGTAGGTTAATCGGTGAAGTGAAGGTGGTAGTACAACTATCACACGTTAAACTTCTAGATTTCAGTTATTCGTGTACATTAAAACTATTTCTGTCACAGCTCCACTGGCTCCAGTGATTGATACCCAGCACACCCTGGCCTATGACCAGCTCTTTCTGTGCTGGCGACTGCCCCAAGACTCTGTGTCTGCCTGGCACTTCTCCGTCGAGTATCGCCGCCGGGGTGTGGTACCGGGAGGAGCGTCTAGAGGCGGCGTCAGAGGAGGATTGTCTGCCGCCCGCTGGGGCTGGCAGCGATTGGATGAAGTGAGCGGGACCAGCGCGGTGATCGACAGGTTGGAAATGGACAGCGTGTACGTGCTGCGGGTGAGAGGCTGCAACAAGGCCGGCTACGGGGAGTACAGCGAGGAGGTGTACCTGCACACCCCTCCTGCACCAGGTGAGAGAACACGTTTTTTGGTGTAAGAAGGGGTCAAACTCTGCCCTAGTTTGGTAGTGCCCCACTGTGTGTGTGAGTCATTATGGCAAAATGTGGTCCTGCAGACATCTACTGTAGCGGAACTACCACAACGCGGTTTTGAGTACTTTGCCAGGCGTTTATATTTCTGTATGTCTGTATGTGTACAAATTGTGTCACTGCGATAGCGTCACAACCGGACAAGATTCAATCATGAAATTTTACAGGTGTGTAGTTGAGATCAAATGAAGACAGAGTTTGAAGACGGGATCGTCCCTCACCACCATAAAGTGTCCAGAATGTCTTATTTATACATTTCATTTTGCATCTTCCACTCAACTATGCAAGGGTATTTCTTCTATTTTTGGTTAATGGTCAGTGACACGTGTATGATAGCTACAAAAAATGTCATTATAACCAAACAGCAAGCTGTAGTTTCTGTCACCCAGGAGCCATTCATCTCTTCACACCTGCTATTATTTAAAAGCATATGGGATGGTTTCCATGATGAGCAGTTAATAATTCATTCTCTTTTTTTCTGCCCATTCCTATCTTCTCTTCTCCAATTTTTCTTCCACCACTTTCTCACTCTTTTATTACTTCATCCCTCTCTCATGTTTTATTTCCATTTCACAGCTTTTTACTTGTCACTCTCTTCCGCGCTCCTTCCACGCTGCCAACCTACGTGCCTCCTACGGAACGTAAGAAGTGCATTCATATCTCTTGACCACCCCGCTGTATCCTCATGCTCTTCTCCTCTTTCTCTTCCTGGTCATCCCATGCATCCTCTGTTCTTCCACACCCATCTAGAACCCCAATCTCACCCCCTCGCCTCCCGCTCTGTGGCGAGATCTGTCAGAGCGCTGATGAGGTTTGCAGTTTGTTAAGATGCAAGGCTTAACAACATGGATCGGAATCCGATCCGGGGCTTTTTGATTGGTTGAGTTGAGTGATTGGTGACTTCCTTGTGCCCCAGTAGGCTGTTTTTCCTCCCTGCTACTGCGTATGTTCCCTCAGTAAATTGTACTTCCTTTGGAAAAATCTGCACTCCCCATAGCCGGAGCTTCTTTGTGATACCTTCCGTATTTTACTCCCCGAGTCATCAATTTATAGAGGAGTGTCCTTTTCTCTTCCAGTGCTGCTGTGCGGAGGTGCATGCCTGCCCTCTCCCCCTAGTCTCTCCTCTCAATTGCTTCCTATTCTCCTCATTTCTCTTCTCCTTGCTGCTTCCGGACTGTAAATCTGTACCACTTTCCCTCTGTTGCCTCCCAAACGTCTCCTGCCGTTACTAAAACCCCTATATGTAATTTTTGAATGCACATGTCTCTTTGTCCTCCCCTTCCCCTCACGTCTAATTCTTCCCCCCTCCCTTCTCTCTCTATCCCCCCCCCCCCCTTTTCCTTTTCTCTGCTGTGTCCTACCTCCCTGTCTCCTCCCAGTGCTCAACTTCTACCTGGACTCTCGCTGGGGTCTTCATGCCGACCGGCTGGTGGTCAGTAAAGAGCAGCGCTGTGCTCGCAGCGTCCCCGGTCTGTCCCTGCTGCAGGCCGCTGACCACGCCCTCACTTCCTGTCACCTGACCTCAGACCTCCTAGTGGGGGATGTGGCTATTACACAGGGAAGGCACTACTGGGCATGCTCAGTGGAGCCTGGGTCTTACCTCGTGAAGGTTAGTCAAGTCTAGAAGTAAATTCTACATATCTTATGTACTGAATACTACATAATATTAGTGCATACTGACAGTATGTGGAAGGTTTGGTTTCAAGTTTTTCTCGATGATAATATTTCTGACAACATAAGCAACAATTATAGTTGAAGTTTTAAACAAAACTATTACTTTTTACAAATTTAAAACTCCATCACTGATCAGATTCGATTGACAGTAACCTAGCCTGCATTGTACCACTGCACATTCTAAAATTAGTGTTTCCACTATTAGTAGTACGGAACAATGATGTTTGTGTTTCTGCTTCCCTAAAATAACCAAATAGGGAAATAGAGAACTACATCAATCTGTTGTGTAAAGATTTTCGACAAGATAAATGTTTAGTTAATTACAAATTGATTGCTTTTTTCTTTTTGAACAGGTGGGAGTTGGTCTGGAATCTAAACTGCAGGAGTGGTTTCACCTTCCACAAGACATGGCCAGTCCCCGGTGAGTACCTGTAGTAGTAGTTCAGGTACTTGACTTGGGTATTTCAGGGGGGAATATAATGCATTTATATTCTCTACATTTGAATTGACAGATTGAGTTACTAGAAACTTTTCCTGTTAGGATTTTACATTTAAAAAAAACACATTGGAGGAAATTGAATTTTGTCACAGTTGGTGAGTATGAGGCAACAGGGATACGACCCAAATGCAGACAAAGCACATTAAGGCATGAAAACTGGTCAAAAACCTGGAAAGGCAGTCCAAACAGGCAAACAATTCCAAATGGGTATAAGAAAATCTAAAGTTCAAAAAGATCAGGCAAGGTTCAAAAGCACTCAATCACAATCGTCTTGGGCGGCACTGAGAGCTGGATGCAGAGACGGTGCCCTTGAATTACAGATTTCTGCAATAAAGACATAGAATAACATGTCACTCACAAGGGCCATTTTGTAGAAGGAGTACTTTTTTGTTTGATACTTTAGGTGCATTTTGCTGCTAGTACTTTTGTGAGTAGGACTTTGAATGCAGGACTTTTGTTTTGGAATATTTTTACGTTGCTGTATTGGAGTATTTTTACCTTGATGTATTGGTACTTATATTTAAGTAAAGGAACTGAATGTTTCGTTGCCACTGTCCGTAACAACAGATACAAGTGAATAAGCAGTGTAACATAAGCAGATGACTCATCCATAATAATTGTTTTCAAACTGCGCTCTCCCTCCAGCTACGACCCGGACAGTGGTCATGACAGCGGAGCAGAGGATGCTCTGGACTCCGCCCCGCCATTCTGCTTCCTCACGATGGGGATGGGTAAGATCTACCTGCCCCAGCACAACTACCACCACCACAGTAGCCATGGGAACGGTATCCGAGACCCCATCACCAACGGCAACAGCCCCTCCTCGTCCGCGGGCGTCACCTACCCGCTGCCCCCTCGGCTCGGCGTGTGCCTCGACTTTGAGAAGGGTCGCGTCACCTTCTACGACGCCCACTCCCTTCGGCCTCTGTGGGAAGGCCACGTGGATTGCTCCGGCCCCGTGTGCCCGGCTTTCTGCTTCATTGGCGGGGGGGCTCTGCAGCTGCAGGAGCTGGTAGCCAATCGCAATGCGGACCAGACTCCGGTCAGAAGGGTAACCATCCAACCCCGGGTCTCTAGTTCACAGAACAACTGACGGCTGATCTGAAGTCATATGGTTATTTGGAATGTAATTGGTAATTGTGAAGTATTTACTCAGCTAGAGCGAAAAGCTAGAAATCTCAGCGATTTTGTTTTGTATTTAATTTTCTTTGTACCAGAAGATGTTTCTATAGCAACAAATATGCAATGTAATTAAGTTTCCAACATTTTTGTTATATAAAGTTTTGCAAGAGTTATTGCTTAAGTATTACTTATTATTATGTTATATCTTTGATGCTTGCACTTGTAGCCAGGCTATATTGCATACATTTATAAAGCTAATGTAGATACAGCGCCACACAATGTCGTCCTCCCTGTAGAAGCTTTTACTCTGTTATTTCATGCCCTTAATGTTTAAAGCTTAAGAACTCTTATGTTTTAGAGATATATATGTGTATGTAAAAAGAATAAAAGGCCTTGACTATTGAATCTATAACTAAACTTGTGTTTAACGACACAGATTTCACTCGTTATGATCCCCAACCAAAGTTATTATTTTTCTGGGATGTAAATGTGGTAAATTAGAGATAGAGAGGAACAATACTGTAATTAGAAGCTCCAATTATACCTCTGCTGCACAGCTAATCACTCCCGCGATTCTGTGCATTGCTGTTTTGTGTTTCAAAGACATGAGTCTGATGTGTGTGTGTGTGTGTGTGTGTTTGCTTGCCTATGCGCATGGGTGCGTGTGGTTTGACTGATAACAGCATTGATTGACGGTGAAAAGTTGTTTTCTTGCAAACAATACTTTTTTTTGGTGTTTTTTTCAACCTCGCTTGATTGTAAGTTAATGAGCAGTGCTTCTTATGAAACGACTAGTAGATTAAATCCATGTGAACGTCACCTGCTGGCAGAATATTTGCAAAAGAAAAATTAACTAAGTACATACACACTAAATAAACGCAAATTTGAATTACTAAAACACCTTCTGTTTCCTTTTGATGTTGCTTTTGCCTGATTTGAATTCTGCTCCATCCATATTTTCACAGTTGCAATCTTCTCCGAGAGGATGGCGCTCTCCTGTTTCACCACTAGAGTGCAGCAAGTCATTGTAGAAGGCAGATATCTCCAACCTCATCTGAACACACTGCAGCTATTGTAATGGTCAGAATATTTATATTTGGAAAGAAAAATAATTGGACCCATTTTCCAATCAAATGGTCCTTCTTTATAGGATGTTGTCAGCCTCACACTTTGAAATGTGCTGTTAAAAATTGGAAACTGGAAAAATTGGCATCGTTTTCCAAATCTCCTAAAACTATACATTTGCTTTTATGGATCTCTTACTTTAGTGGGAGTATATACTACCTGCCTTTTTTTGTTACGTTCTAATTTAACAGCACCGTTTCTGGCTTTACTTACAGTTCACTTGTTATTTATTCTTTTGAAAGGTACTGTGTATAACACAAGGTGCAATATGAGACAATGATATGAAGAAAAGAGGGAGAATTTAAAGTCATTGGCAAAATAAATATGTTTAACTATTACCATATATGCATTGCCACACTTTGATTGATTGTCACTGATAGCCATAATAACAAATGACTCTATACCAGCACACAAACCTTTACATTTGTTGGCCGATCTGGACAACCATCATAAAGTAAAACTAGACGATTCATGCCAAGTCTTGATATATACAGAATAACATTTCCTGCCAAAAGGTCTCTTGTATGAATGTATGAGTTCATGTGTAGGAATTACCATGAATCAAACTTTATTGTTTACACACATGCAATAAAAAGTTCACTTAACAGCAGATGTAACATACGTGTCCTTGAGTCCTGCATGGCCTCTGATCTACTGAATAGAACATCAGTTTAGTTTGATAAATTGCAAAAGACGCCACCTATTGGCTAATCACAGTTTAAAATAGGAAACAGACTTGATGGAGAGATTCTGGCTCAATGAAACACCTTGGATAATGAATAGTGATGACCATCTGCTTTTGATAGAGATATTAACACCTCACATGTGTAGGTACTTAGCATTCCTTATGTAAATGTAATGTAAATCGCTGGCGTTTACCTTTTATGAGCTTCAATATGAAAATCCACATGTGTGTTTAATTGGACCAACATTAAAGGGGAAACTGTTGGGGGATTTGGGTTTGCTTCGACCACAAAGGGAAAATAAAAATGTTTTAGAAGAAGAAAAAAAAAAAGAGTTGAATCGAGAAACAATATATATCTAAAGCGCACAGCCTTGACACAAGCCAAGGTTCTTTTTTAACATCCTAATACACACAGATAAAAGTACTGCCACCAAAGGGAGGTTTAGCTCTGATCCCCCATGATAGAGAAGAAGTGGAATGTACAGTAAAACATGAATACAGCACGGCACAGCCCTCCACCCACCCCCTTGAGCTTGCTGCACCTCTCTTCTTTACTCCAAATCTGTAACAGATTGGGTTTAGTCTGACTGGAGGTATGCAGCCACAACACCACATGTAAGGGTCTGCATAATCCCTCCACGAAGTATTAAGCACACAGCATGGGCATTCTTTTAAAGAGCTGGCAGGAATTACCAATACATAATCTCCATGATCATCATTTAACATGGTTTAGTGGGAGAGCATGGGGGGGGAGGGAATCGTCGCAATATATGAAGGATCTAAAAGCTGTATGCAATCTGTGAGAGACAGTGTGCGGTGCCATCTGGAGAACACATAGACAAAGTCTGTCGGAATCCTCTAACCCAACTGTCTTAAGCGACATGAAGCTACACCACATGTTCAAGACCTGATTTGTTTGTTGAATCCGCTGTGTGGTTTCTACAGCCCGAAGAGGAATACGTTGTTTATGGGGAACCTGCTTGAAACTATTCTGCTGAGTTGAGACCATTAACGTGGATCTCTGCGGTGGAGGCCTGCAGTAGGAATTAAGTAGGCAGGGGGTGGAATAAAATTTGGAAATGTGTTTCCGCTGCAAGCTCAGTTCATGACAGCTGCTCCCTGCGCTTTATAGCCGAGGACTTTTCATTCGATTGAAGATTAATTATTCATCTTCATAAGCACAAACCTCCACATTACAATCACAAGAGGTGGCGTCTCTTAATTTCTGTCTCTCCATATGAAACAGGTTATTTCTGGAGCAATTTAATCACACTCACGTCATTCATATCTCTTATTCGGTTTGCTCATGCCTTAAAACTCAATAACGCTGCCTCGATATTATTCTTCCAGACGTGGCCACAGCTGAAAGATTTATTTTTCTCTTTCTCGTCCATCCATCCACCCATGAGACGGAGCGGCATGAATAATATACTACTTCCTGCTTTTATCTCATTGGTAATCTGAATAGAGGTAGAAGGTGGGGGGGGGGGGAAACAATCAGCTAAATGTTGGCAAAGAGGATTTGAGGGGCATGGCTGGGCCGTCTTCCCTCACTATAATAAATGAAGGGTGACAGTAATGCTACACTGAGCCCATATGGCCACATACTGTAACCTAGTGCACTGCAAATGTGAGAGAAGACACAGGGCTAATTCAGTTTAACATTTACGCTCCAGTGGCATATCCTCCTGTATTGGATTGCACTTTGTTTTTCTCTGCTTAATGATGCAATGCGTATTATGCAATGCTTGGTAGTTTACTGCATAAATCAAACTGCACACAGTGCACAATTGGACAATTAGAGTGCCCTCTGACATCAAATGCCACATTACAGGAATAGTTTGACATCTCAGGAAATTCGCTTATTCGCCCGCTTGCTAAGAGTACATGAGAAGATCGATGCGACTCTCGTGTTTGTTCATTAAATATGAGTCGTTTGGTCTGCAGCTGGGTAGCTTAGCTTAGCATGAAGACCGTAGATGGTGTAAAATATGGACGTGGTCCCATTCTGAAGAGTCGTTGTAAAGCTCAAAGTGGACGGACAAGAGAGAGACCTTTTTGGACCCTACAGAGAAATAAAACATTTTTCTTTACCTTTACCCTTTGCTTGATCCGGTCTGTTTGTTTTTGTATCGAACAAAGTCTCCTTCGGAGAGGTCACGCTGTCGAAATCACCTAAATATTCAACCATGACATTGAAAATCTTTCAGACTAAGCTACGCTTTCTCTGTACTCCAGCACAACAAACCCCCACAACACTTCTCTCTTCAACTCTCACTTTCCACTGTTCACATGACACAATAACAAACAGACCGGATCAAGCCAAAAGTAATCGAAAAACTTTTTAGTTCGTTTTCCTTTCCTTTCCATATCAGGGTCCAGGTTGAAAAATACCAAAGTTACCTTTTAGAAAGGTCATGATATGTTGAGGTTATGTTCCCGCTGCCTCCAAGTGACTCAAATGAAAGCTATCTCAGGTTTAACTACAATCTGCAATGTGGGGATGTTATCCTTTAGAAACGATTTAATTCTGAACCCAAAATAATGGTTCACTGGTTTGAACCATTAAAATCTGTCTTTTGGATCACGAGTGTGAAGTGGACCAAACTATATTACACAGCTTTTGGCCCTAAAGTGTACCTTTAAGGCTGGCGTAACTTCAGATATATATCTCTACAGTCTGTCTGTAGGATATTATTGTTTCCATAAAACCGAGGTGTGGAATAACATTTTAGCCAGACTAATGGCACAAAATTCTTTGTAAGAAATGGCGTGAGCAGGTGTGGGACCATTGCACGTGTGGTTAGAAACCATGATTTCTGGTTGAGCTTTACGTACTATGTGACAGATCCATTCAGGGAGTAAGTAAATCAGGACGCAGCATATTTTGTGTGGTTCTCCACCGTGGTCAAAAACATGCTGAGTCGGACCTCAATAGCCCCTGCACTGTTAAAATTCCAGGTCTCTGAAAAGTGAAAGGCAAGTCAAATCAGTGTGTCAACAGGGGATCCGTAAACCACACGTTTCCTGGACGGCTCTGTCAAGACCAGCTGTGCATACATCATAGCCTGCATGATCCGTGTGTACAGAAAGAAAGAAATAAAAGACAGACAGGGGGTGGGAGACAGAAACAAAGACAGAAACAGACGTGAAACAACACATACCGACAGGCGTACACAAAAGGAGGAGGGGGAGTTGGTACTTGATCTGTGAGAAGAGAAAAACAGTCGAACCATGTCTCTGAAGTCTGACAACTCCATGGTCCTATCTGTTACCATGTCAATACTTGACAACGGCCCACCCCGGCTGCCTCGTCTGTCCCTCCTCACCTTCCAGATGCTCACGCAGTGAAGGGGTGAAAGGTTGGCAGGTGCCTGGGGGGAGCGGCAAGGAGCCTCAGGGGTCAGATTTCTGAGAGGTCAAGCAGTCGCAGACTTTGGAGTTGAACGAGCGGGGAGAGAGGGGGGGTGGGAGGGGGGACAATATGACTAATGTCCAGAGCAGGAGATAGACGAGACAACAGAGCAATTGTCTCACCAAACCAACTTCATTTACGGGCATCGACAGACACACACAGACCACAATCAGCTTTCAGGGTATTACCCACTGCCCAGACAAATCCATAATCCCTGACCTTTTGCATTCCCAACATAAAGTTGATGACAGAGGGCATCGACAAATGTACAGTGAATTTGTGTGATTCCGATTGCTGAACTGACCTGTAATCCTTTCAGTGGCGGTTATTGACATACTTCTCAATCATTAAACTCTGTGGCTTATTTAAATGCAAATTGTAATTAGCCTGTGGAATCAATCAACAGCATATCGATGTGTGCCCGGATCACTGAACCCCCATGATTCCTCCGATCATGCAAAGCAACATGACTCCAGCCCTGAACGCCAGGCCTAATCTAGTGGAGCAGCGAAGGACATCGTCTGCATAATGAGAGACCAAAGGCAATTTATTGAATGCAGGCAGTGATGCTGACTGGACTTAATGAGTTTTTGTATGTAACTTCATGTTTAGCTTGCCACGTTTGGCTCTCTAACGCGTGGCCCATTTTCTCCAGAGCCCCTTCATTACATCA